CTCCGAGAAGCGGGCGGAGGACTGCGCGGGGTGCGCTCGGAGCGCGGGCTGCGGCGGGGACCGGGCGGCGGCGGCGTGCCCCGCTGGGCTCCCGGGCACTTGCCCGGCTCTTTGCGCGCTCCTGGGCACCAGCTCCGCTGACACTCCGCACCGGGCCGCCCGGAGCCGCTGGACGCGCGCCGACCGCAGGTCCCAGGGGGACGCGGCTCTTGGGGACACCGCACCGGGCTGGAAGATCGAAGGTGAGCCCGCGGCTCTGCCGCTCGGTCCTCGAGGCCGCAGACCCGGAGAGCTGGGCTGGGCGCGACGGAGGGTTGCAGCCTCCCGGGGACAGCCGAACCCCCACCTGGCCACCCGCGTCCCCCCTCCCGGGGGACAGCCCAACTGCCCAGGCAGCGGTCTCCGAGGGAGCCCCGTAATGGCCTCGGCTCACCACTTCACGTGATGTGTATGGTGTGGAAGTGGCCAGTACGTCAAAAAGTGGGAGTTGGTTTTTTTTTTTTTTTTTTCGGTTGTGTGGGGCGGAACGCAGCAGCAGTATTTCAAGGAAAGTTCTCAGACGTTGTTCTCAGAGTGGATTATCAGCACAGGACCCGGTCCCACTCGAATTAGAATTAGTAACTTTGAGAATTATGCCTTTTCTTTAAAGCCCATCGAAATAACCTAGATCTATGAATCCCTTGGTTGTGGCCCATGTTAAGTGCACAGTAATTTGTTCTTTTCCTCCTTTCCCTCTTTGCTGTCACGTTTAAGCCATGACTTATTTGGTTCAATTGACTGAACCAATTATTTAGTGTAAGAAAGATTTATCATTAAATGATTTATCAGTGCCGTTTAAAATAATTAGCTCTCGGAATAGATTAGTATTGACTTTGTTGAAAAGTTGGGGTTGGAGGGGGGCACATAGTTAATAACTTCAACTGCATGATGCAAAATTTGCCTCAGGATTAGTGCGTTTCCCCGGCTTTCTTGTAGGAGCCCTATGTAGGGACAGGGTGAGACAAAGGCCATGGAGTAGACCCAACAAAGTCCAGAGCGCTGGAGTCCAGAGGAAGAGTTGAGGGCCTGTCTTGAGAGGTGGTTGAGGTGGTTCCATAGATGCTGACACACGTGCCCAGTTGTCACTGCAAGAAGTGGCAGCTGTCCCTCGGGTATGGTGTGCAAACATGACTTTTCTGAAGAATGCCTGATAGTGTGCCATCCTTCCCTTTTGTTCAGTGCTGCTCCTCCTCAGTCACCACTCTGAATGGTAACCAGCCTTCATACTCAGTTTGCTGCTGTTGTTCGGCCTCAGACCCCAGCCTGAAACAGCCAGTCTCTTGTGCTCTGATTCCTGTCGCCTTTTATCTCAAGGGACCTTTCTGCTCTCTACATGGGATTTATGTAGATGTCTCATTTTCCCTACTGAAGTTATTTGCCTTGTCTTTCTTGGCATGATACACCTTGAAGACTCTAGAAATAATTGTGGGCAGGTTTTAAATGTTAATACTTTGGTTTATGAAACATAAGTCAGTATTTTGGAGGAGATAATGCAATCATAGGGATTTAGATAAATGTACAGTATTTACATTTAGATAAATGTACAGTATTTCCCCACCAGGGAAATTTTCTTTGTACACAGGAGTGCCCCCTGATCATCTTTGACCCTTGTCTCGGGACCAGGTAAGAGGTGAGATTAAACTAGAGTCCTTCTAGTAAAACAAGCTCTTGGGTGTGTTTCAAGTTTGACCCGTGTCATTAAATTTTTCATACTCAAGTGGGTTGGGGTGAAGCTATATTCCAATGAAAGTGGTTGGTTTTCTGTTTTTTTTATTTGCAGTCATTTTAGTTACATGGTTCTTTGGGCTCTGCTTTATGCTTCATGACATTTGTTTGATGTGTAGTTGTTACAACTTTCTAAATGAGTGAAGGAAAATAGGAAAGGCATTGGGCATGATGAAAGGGTTTCTCAGGAGAGAGGGCAAGAGGGGGCATTTGCACAAAGCATGGCTGTTCTGCAGGTATGTGTGTGTTGGCAGTCCTTGCTTCCACAAGCGGTCTGCACAGGGCAACTGCTTCAGTCCTGGCTTCTATTCTCTCCTGGGGTAGGGAGGGGGGCTGCTTCTGCTGTGAGCAGCTACCACCACTACCACCACTCCCACAACCGCAAACAGAAACCTCAAAACTCCTGGGTTCAGAAAGGGAATCAGGGAAGAAGTCAGAAAACAAACAAGCAACAAACAGAAACACTGGCATCCGAAAGTGTTAATATTTTTAATGAAGCTGCTTTCCTCCTGGATATTTAAATATTTTGTTATTATTTTTTATTTGATGTGTATGAGTGTATTGCCTGCATGTATGTGAGTGCACCCCACTGAGGTCAGAAGACAGCTTTGGATTCTCCTGGAACTGGAGTTAAGGATGGTTCAAAGCCGCCATGTGGGTGCTGGGAATCAAACCCAGGTCCTCTGCAAGAACAGTCAGTGTTCTTAACCATTGAGCCATCTCTCTAGCCCCTCCTCCTGGATATTTAGTTGAGCTTTGAGCAAGTGAGGCTCTGGTCGAAGGAGTGGGAAAGCAGGTGAGCATGGTAGTATAGAGGAGGGCAGGAAGTTGTGGATAGGGCTTAGTGAAGCCTGTGCCCCATTAACATTGGGTCAGGAAGAGGAGAGTTGTGGATTGGGGAGTGGGGAATGGAGAATGAGAAAGAAAGTATCAAAGATGCACACCAGCTATGAGGCCTAGCAAGGAAGTCATAACTCTCTAGTGTCTTGTGAGCCTCTTTCTTCCTAGATGCAGAATTCACACTTGTTAATTCAGTTTTAATTCAGCTGAGTTATGACTTAAGTAGGTCTTCACAGGCCGAATTAAGAACGTAGGCCTCTACATCTGTATCGTCAATATGGTAGCTGCTAGCCATATATGACTATGTTTAAATGAGTTCAAATAAATGAAATTAATTAGCTACATTTAAGTGCTTGAAAACTATATGTGGCTAGTGGATAGTATAAATACAGGGCATTTCATCCTGCCCTGGAGAATGGTTCCAGAGAGTTCATCTCCAAAGTGAACTGCTTTCCAAATGAATTTAATCAGAAATTTAAAGTTTCCTATTTATAATCTCCCATCGAGTCTATTTTGATGAAAATAACAGACACTGTTCCAAACAGTTTACACATATTAACTCATTTCACTCTTACAACATTAGGCAATAAGTATTAGCGATCTGTAATTCTCAAATACTAATAGTCATGCCAGCCATCTGAAAGCTGTGGATTTTGTAAATCTGGCAACAAAACTTGATCAGAAGTAATGTTGCATTGTGTTGGCCTTTCCTTTTCTTATTTAGTGGCAACTGTTCTTACATTTTTACTTCAAAAGTGATGGACACACTTGATTTACTGAAGACCCCCCCCCCCACTGGAGATAGTGTTTAATGTTTGGCACATATACCCCTTATACAGACATAACCTGGAAGACTTCTGTATCTTCTAAATTGGAATGGCTTCTCAGTTTCTGATGAGGAGTGTGGACTTCCACTGTTATGTTCATTTCCAAGACAGATAAACAGAGGCACTGGAAGATTAACTTACATGAAGTCATGGCAAGAAAGTGCCTGAGCCCAGACTTGGTCAAAGCAGGCCTGCTTCAGAATCCATTGTCTTGATCACTGGGCTCTCCTGCATCAGACTCTGGGCTCAAGATCCATACAAATGACTGGGTGAAACCTAGTAGCTTTAACTCAGCTCACTGGAAAGTTTCAGATAAGGCTCCGGCTATATTGTTTAGTGGTTGAGATTTGAAAACTTTGACTCTTAAGCTACCACAACAGGCATGCATAGCAATTGTTTCGCTCGACCCTTTCCTCCCTCTGCCAGCCAAACTTGGTTTGCAGCCATTGGTTATGTGAGAACTGAGAAGAAAAGAGGTCGTTCATTGTGGATACTGGTGACCACCACGGTTGGGCTATGTTGAAACCCATGGCACATGGAGGCTTACGTATTCGTAACTGCTACGGTGGAGTAGATTGCTTGGTCCTGGTGTAAACCAAGCTCAGCTACAGACAGGGCCCTTTTTCTGGCCCACCAGTATTCTGGACCTTTCTGGCGTGTTTCCTAGGATCTGGATCCATCTGACTCAGATGGAAGTCTCTTCAGGAATTCACACTCGTGAATTCTTTCTTTTAGAAGGTCAACTGGAACTGCAAGGTTGTTCTAGTTAGGGAAAGGACTTTCCATGCCTCCCGCACTGTCCCCTTGTGATGGCAGGACTAGGTGGCTTCTTCTTGACCCAAACCTACATTAAAGTTCTTGGGTAACCCCAAAGTTTCTCTTTTGCACGAGAACATGTTTTGAGTGCTTTGCCATCTATGTGTTTCTTTCAACAAGGACTCTGCAGGATTGCCTCTAGTCAGGCAATCTGGCATATCTTTGTGAACAGTCTTCTGTTCTCAGAGAGTAATGGTCTTCTTGTCTCCTCTCTGCCAGTTGTCATAGCTTAAAGGAAAGGGCCCAGCCACTGTTTGTCAAATACAAGGGCTCTAAACCCAAAGTTACCTAGGCGTACTTAAGCTTTGCCTCCTCCTAGCTCTACAACCTTGGATAAGCAATTAACCATTTTTTAAGATAATAAAAATAATTTCTCAGGGCTGGAGGGATGGCTCAGCAGTTCAGAACACTGCTTGTTCTTGCAGAAGACCCGGGTTCGAATCCCAGCACCCACATGGCAGCTAACAACTGTCTGTAACTCCAGTCCCAGGGGATCTGATGGCCTCTTCTGACCTCTGTGGGCATTGCAAGACACGGGTGCACTTACCTACATGCAGGCAATACACGCATACACATAAAATAAAAGAAATAAAATTAAAGAAAAATGATTTCTCAGGGTCGTATGATGCAAGAGTGAGAAAATTCACCTAAAGCAATTTCCAAAAGCCCAAGCGTACACTAAGTACTCAACAAGTTAGTTAGTAACACTGTTGTTTCTTCGCCAGAGCCTACCCAAGTCTTGGGAGTCTGTAGTTTGGGGCTTTTGTGAAGTGTATGGGATGTGAATCTTTCTGGAACGTGTGAATATGCCAGTTTACATGACCAAAGGGATTTTGCAGATGTGTTTAAATTAAGGATCTTAAAAAGGACATTTTTCTAGATTTCTGTGTGTGTTCAGTTTAATCATAAGGCCCTTATAAGAGGAAAATAGAGGACTGGAGAGATGGCTCAGTGGTTAAGAGCACTGGCTGCTCTTATAGAGGACCTGGTTTTGA